GTTGCCCCGCAGTGGCTTTCAGTCCACCACGCGCGAATGAGTAATAATCAAATACAAATGTCCTAAATCAATGTATCATGAGAAGGACCGTCTTCGCAGCACTTAAGAAAAAAGTCACAAAACCCATTTAACACGTGTTGCGTATATGCTTCTAACGACCATTGTCGAACCATATCCCCCGACAAGCAAATGCGTCATCCGATCAAGGTCTGCACTGTTCGCTGTTGAATCTGTAGGTCATATTTTAACTGTCAAAGCATTTTACCCCTTGATTAGCTCACATAGTTTATACAGGTTAACTGCTTTGTTTGCCAGATAGAATTGCATATTTTTTCTTAACTTTTGACCACTTGACAGTAAAGGAATATGCAAATCTGTCCACGCCCCTATACCGTTCACAAACTTTCGGGACGGACGCTTAGACACTCGGACGGACAATGGCAACGCTATATGGGGCACAAAAAAATATTGAAGAACACAAACAATGTTAAAACGTATTGCTTTGGTGAGTTAAGAAGGCACATGCCCCTTGCGCCCCATCGGGATCTGCAACTGGCCATGCACAATAATGTGTGATAATTTTTACGTCGGGGGTAAACCAGAGGGTAAAATCACGGGTAAGTTGGATAGACTGTTACAGTATCCAATACAATAAATTACAAATTAACATATGAAAAGTTGAGACATTTATCGTTAACCGATTTGGACATTTATCAGCACCTAATTTGTTGCGACATTTTTCGTTAATTTTTGGACATTTATCGTTAAAGGAGTTTTGGACATTTATCGGCGATTGAGACATTTATCGTCAATTTTTGGACATTTATCGTCGTTTGGACATTTTTCGACGTTTGGACATATATCGGCGCTACAACAGGAAACATTTTTATGAACAGACAGACTTAAGGACACTCTAATGTTATTTTTTAAACATTCCTGTTTCCAAAATATAACATTTTTGAAAGCAAAATTCATAAAGAGGAGACAACTCTTGAAATAAAGATCCAAGATGTCATACATGATGTGAGTGTAACAAAGAACAACTAGTAATGAAGCTGTTCATTATGAATGTTTATTTTGAATTTGAAGTAAAAGAAAGATTAAAGAAAGAATAAGAAAAATTTAAGTTTAAGGATGAAATAATTCTGGAAATAGGATGCTAGATTTATAAACCTTGTCATATTATTATGATGTGGGAGTTTGAAGTAAATCGTATAAGTAATGAAGAAGTTGGAGTAAAATATACCAATTTCTCGAAACAAATCTAAGTTCAAGGGGAAATAATTCTGAAAATAGTCTTGAGTATTGAACCTTCTCACAAATGAATTGAGTGATAATAAGAAACATATATATGAAGTTTGAAGAACATTAAGAAATAAAGAAGTTATTACAAAATCAACATTTTTTTTCTTTTAAGTTAAGGGAGGAAATTCTAATAATTTTTGTGCTAGAGTTAAAACCAAATTTGATGTGGTTGATGACCAGAGACTTATGTTTGAAGTTTGAAATAAATACCTTAAGAAATAAAGAACTTATAGTGAAAAAGCCTAAAATCTAGAATAAGAAATCTTGACGAGGTTGACGAGGTTGCCGACGTTTTTTAAGTATGGCAGCTCTCAATATACTCCCTAAAGTCAAGATTAAAATGATGTGTATATTATAATTTCCATACTATCATCTATCCATATTTTAAGTTTCATAAAGAATTTCAGCTTTTTTTACTAATCACAAATATTGTTATATTTGCCATGTTCTAAGCCTATTTGTTGCAATGGCAACCAATTCTATTTTCAAAATATGAAGAAAAGAATTGAAAAGACATGCATAATCTCCACACTGCCATAAGAATGTAAACGTTCTGTTGTGTTCAAGTATAAACCAATAATAAAGTTGACAGAAACAAGAACTAAAATGATGCCTTAAAGATTGATCTATGTTGTAAAGCAGATGCCTCCAGATTAGTCACACAGTAGAGATATGTTGATAAATACTGTAAAATCAGATAAATTTTAATTATCTCTTTAATTGTAAATATTTTCACTTTTCTTAAAATCTTAGTACATATGTCTCAATGTTCTATTTCTTGAAATATTTTTGCTCATCTAGGGAAGTGCAATCATCTTGTCGAACATTTCATCTTTAAAGAATCCAAATTTTAATCAAATTTGTGCATTACTTTTCATAACTGTCATATAAGGTTAAGGACAATTAAAGATGATTAAGGAATTACTTTAGTTGTTTCACATTAAGTGTTGTACAATATTTTGATACGTCCAAACAAAAAAATCTAATCCGTTCATAAATAACAAGGTCAAACTAAATTAACATGATATTTATATAAACGTACTCGTAATTATAATGATAAGTGTTATTTTGTATTAATCAAATTCACCAATAAATTATTGCGAATTTTATGACTTTAAAAATCAAGGCTATTAAATGGTCGGTATCAAAATTGTTCAGATGGAAGTAATGGCCAATTATTGAAACAATATATCCATTTACTATCATTATCATTCATAAGTCATAAAATTGGGGTTTTATTAATGAATGGTGGTGGTCCTCAAATGATCAAATAAATCAAACATATCTGAATTTATATAATATATCAAGAGGTATTTGGAATTAAATTTAGCGAAGCCAAAATATATAAACAAAAAATCGAAAAATGTTGACTTAAGATGGATAGCGATTGATCGAGAAATATCAGTTACAGATCAAATAAGTACCGGGAAAAAAGTATAGAGTACAAGTAGGGCAGTCCATGTTTTGCTTATTAATTAAAACAACTGAATAGTTTTACACCCTGCTTCGGAAATGGCGTTCTGACATGTATCAGTCAAAATAAATTAACGCATTTTGCATGGTTAAAACATCGAATAAATTAAAGATAATGCAATATGAATGATAATAAAATAAACAATGCAGATATATGACAATAGATATGTATGTGTGATATGTGATATATATATGTGAGTAATGTTGTTGATGGATAAGGAATTTATGTATTTATCAAGTTGTTTAATAAAATAATGAAATCTCAGTTATTCCCGTCTTCATGTATCAACATTATTATAGCTATTGCTTTTGCAAACATTTTACATCAGTACACATTTCTCAATATATCATCCTTTTACATGTATGAACGCACTGTTTTAGATAACTCATTTTCATACCACAATTTTTGAATTGGACTACATGCTAACTATCATAGCTTTAAATGGAATCTTCCCAGAGTTTCGAAGCGTATTCCTGAACTCCAATGTCTTCTCTAATTACACATTTGTTTCCTTATAATAGGGAAATATACGCTGCTTTTCATAGTTTCTTGAAAACTGCCATGTGAACAAATGTTTTAACTTTATTCTTTTATCATAAATTCTGCTAATGGATGTTTGCGGTATCTTGTATTTGCGGATACCGTCCAAAAACAGGTTCAACTAAACACAGAGAGCATTTGACCAGTAACTAGAGTACAATGAGTTGACAGTTACAGACTACGTCCTTTGCTTCTGCTGATAAGAGACCATGTAATTAGCAACTTCTTTCATTTTTTTTAATATTTGACCTTAAACTGGTTTTATATTACCAAATCCTCAAAGACGATGAAAATAATAAAATAAACTTTAAAAAACATATATTTCATTTATTGTTATTCTAATTTCTTATATTATAATTACACAATTCTTGGAGGCAGTATAGAAACATTTGTATTATCGATTATATTACACTAAGTTTAACGTACAATACATATTCTAAATATACATAATTTCTATAGCAATTAATATGTAATCATCTATATGTTGATATTTGCCTAAAGTGAAGACGAATTTCAAAGTTAAGATTTAATGTTAAGATGTATATTAAACTTACTTTTCGGGATCATTGATTCCAGCACATTTAAGTGTAGAAAATTGAATAACGCTCAAGCCGGTGCTAGGGCGCGTGAGGGATGTTGCACTTTTTTCAATATCTCTCATGTACACACTCAATCAAACCGAATCTGCAATTTTCATGTATTTTTGCTGATTTCATGCTTTCGAAGGATCGTTTTGCACCAAAGTTTTGTGTAGCCACAGGGGTCATATGATAAGTGAATTTTCACCAATTTCGCATGCGTTTTGTAAACACGTATGCCATTCATAAAGTTTAGTCTTGGCTCGTGAATTTTCGGTATATTTACTTTTATAGCGCTCCAGAGGGCTACAATTTCTTTAAGTAAAACGCACATGAAATAGGTGAATTATAATGGCTTTGTCTAAAACCAATTGTTATGTGTAAATAATCAGACAAAAAACCCATCAAAGACAAGATTTCACTGTGAAATATACATGTATATATTATTTTTATGTCCTATTTTAATGCAAAGGTACAAGACTACACTTTCGGAAAATGGCCAGTATAAATGACCACGTTAAGGCCTATAAATATAGGAAGTCCGTTTCATTTCCAAACGAGTTAAAACAATTGTGAAATCAATTTCATACTCCTTTTTAACATTTCCTATACAGGGAATAGTATTAATATTAAATAACAATAAATAATATAAAATAAACAACCGTGAATTCCTAAAACTATATTTCAATATGTGTATACGTATAGAGCTCTGCGCAAGAATATGTTGCACAATACTATGAAAATAAACCAAACAATACAATAAAGGAGCAAGTTATAATTTAGAAAGGCTATGGGCAAGTCAGTAAGACTTAAATAGAAATATTTTATACTTGTTCAGATTTTACATAGCTTTTCATTGACTCCAAATTAATAATACAGTCATTCAAAAGCTTTTTGCATGGAAATGATTTATGACATATCTTTACATGCTTAATGGAATATGTTATCTCTGATTTTAACTATAGCGTCAAAATTAAAAAGTCATTGCATTAAATTTTATGTCTTACAACTTCTAACTATAATTAACCAAATTTATTTATCACTTTTTAAGATTTTTATGAAATAGTTTCAAGGGTTAACTAGATGTATATTTTTCTTTCGCGTTGAATAACTTCATTATTTAAAGATAAGGAAACAAAATATTCTTTGTATGTAAGAACAGAACACAAAATTATATAATATTTTATTATATACCTATAAATTTTCTCCCTAAAATACACGCACATTTTGAAGCGCAAATACGCTTCAACGGATAGAACTTTCCGTATTATATAGTGACAAATACGGTACCATATATGGAAGTGTCGGACTATTTTTGACGTTGGTATCGATCTTAGCTTTGTATAATGTGCATTTGGAAACGGGAACCAAACTTATTAAATGCGTGGCCAGATTTGTAAGAATTACGTTTTCATCCGTCAGTCATGAATTTATTTCTTGACAATTCAATTCCATTTTCTGAATTAAAGGAAAGGGTATATAATAAAAGGAAAATTATGTTGTAGAGACTTTTTGAGGCTATGTATTTTTCTACTCGCAACATTGGAAAATTGATATCTAGCTCGACCTTCAATTTTCCATCGCTGCTCGTAGCAAAAAACAAAGCCTCAGAAAGCTACTTTAACATTATATTCCGTATAAATGGTATATATATTTCATTTTATTTGTACATTCATAATTGTACATAATATCACATCTTTAAGTCATCAATATAAATACATGTAGAGATAATGAGAGTATGATACTTTATACAAGTTAGCATTCTTTTCATCTAAAGTAATCATGAAAAATTAACATAATTTGAAACATTGAGAGTGTCACAAGTTTCTTATATTCCTTAGCTAATTTTTCATAGCATTGTAAATAATCAATGGCATGTAATAAACTAATAAAGCTACCTTTGACATAATTATATCAAATACATATAACAAGGGCAACATGAACAAAACCTATCAATGCTCATAAATCGAAAATGATAATGCACAGCTTCCTAATCTTAAACTTACACAGGTCATATTTCACTTTTTTAGGGATTCTGTTTTTCTCAATTTTTAGGTTTTTAGTACATAGTTTTTAAGTTCACTGTATAATATATATAAAACCGTGACTAAAATATACATATATGTATATTTTGAGTCCCACTATAAAACAAACGTGCGCGGACACACACGCGCGCATGCACTCACACACACACACATACACTAAAGCGCCCGCGCAAACACACACGCACGCACGGACGCACACACAGATTAGTCGCTATATGCCATTGAATCACATGTGTTCTGCGGTGACATAACGAATTCAAGCTCATTATTACAAATGGTCAATAATAGATTAAACAGCACAGACTGTTCAAGTATGCATTTATATGATTATTTTAAAGATTGTAGTTAATTTCTGCATTGTTTCAAAAGACCAGAGACTTTTCAAATGGTTTTACTCCACTATTGTCGCTGATATTCTCCGCGGAGGAATTTACTTGATAAACCATAATGCAAGAACAACAGCAACCATGCATGCCACACCAACCAGAAACATTGCCCGTGTTACTTCAATATGTACATCTTCAGTAAGAAACTTCTGAAGACATTGTTTAACACGGTATGCCCCCAGTTTAGCTCTCACCCGAATCCCTATAACTTTCTTATTATATTTCAAGACAGGGGCCCCAGGCTCAAATATACATTTCAAAACTTTCAACACCATATTTTCTACAGATGTGCTGTTAACGTTTATACCGTCGTGAAAGCTGATCCATCTGAACGAACGTCCATTTCTTTTCAATTCACTTGAAAGGCGTTCCTCAACTTTCAAAAATTCTTCCAAGATTTTGTTCGATTCATCAGATGTGTCCCCAGAACGCAAGTTTTGGTCTAGCACCAAATCATATTTTGTTGCAAGAATATACAAATCTGGCTTACCTGAAAAGACACATTTACATTAAAAGAAATTACCATTACTTTTAGATTGCAATTTACACATTTATATTTTACGAAAAAAGAAGAAATCTTTTTAAGCGAAATTTGGATCCCTTTTAATGACATACAATGTTCGTTGTATCCAGGAATACGCTTAATTTTGCTACTATGTGTCATAGATATAAACATGACGTCACGCATTTACATCGTCTCGGTAGATTTAATAAAAACATCCATATTTTATAATATTTAAAGATAGATTGTGCAAGTTTATTTAATAGTTAATAGATATAACAATCGATATAATGAGAAATTAAACATGAATCTAAGCATAAGCAACTTGTAAAAAACAAGAAAACAAACAAACACTGATATGCAGCCACACAGAAAACTTTTGAGATCGTAAATGTTTAGATCATTAATCGAAGCGATGGATGTTGTGAATAAATTTATCAAATTAAAATAAATGTTGTGTCAAAAAATGTGTATCAAAAGTGAGAAATATGACAATATGACAAATGAATATCAAAAAAGCACAAAATAACAATACTAATAAATAATAATAATAATAATAAAAGAGAACAAAATAACATCAACAACAAAAAACAAAAACAAACAAATGGCGTTATATTTTTGGCGTTTATACAACTGATGTTGTTAATTTGGTCGATCTTGATCTTTTGATAATCCTAGTTTAGTTGAAATTGATGTTCTCATGATGATTGGTGATTTTGGAGGATGCGGATATACTTATGTCCAAATATTGACGATAGGGATGTGGATATGTTTTGTGTTCCTAGTATGGACGAAGTAAAAAAAAACTTGATGATTGGAGTATAAGGCATGTGGACAATAATGGTGTTGTCAGTTAAGGGAATTGGGATGTACTTGGTGTTTTGGTTTAGGAGATGTTGATAAACTTGATGTTCATTGTATTAGCGATGTACTGATGATATTGATTTAGGGCATGTTGATATAAATGGCGCGCTGGTTGGTTTTATATGTTTCTACATGATCATTTTAGTGTTTTACTTATTTAACCTTTTGTAACCATGACAACTGTTAGAATTTCACTTGGCGGTGATTCATTTTATTTACACTGTCTCGTTTATAGGAACATGGTGGGGCTAAGAGCGAGGTTTGGTGCACCATTAACCGGTTTAAACTCCCCAGCAGTCATAATTATGCTGCTGACCGTTCCAAGGCGGCGCCCCACTCTGTTCCTTAGATGTATGTCTATGTTGTTTCATACTGTTTTGGTGACACTTTTGCTTGTGTCCCTTGTTGTTTTCTCGTCTACGGTAAGTATCTTCCCCATTGCCTCTAGATTTTATTTCTTTGATTAACACCCCCCCCCCCCCATCCCACGGTCTCCTGTCCCCTTCCCCTTTGTGGGCCGTTTATTATTTTCTTTGAATTCCTAATCAGTTATAAATTATTATTATTTTCTTTGAATTCCTAATCAGTTATAAATTATTTATCATTTAATGTTTAACATGTCCGTGTTCTGTCTTTGCCCTGTCCTGTTTTTGTTTGGGGTCCGCCTGGGCTCCTTGCCATTGGTTCTTGTTGCTGGGTCATGTGGGGGTTGCGTTGATTGAACGCCGCCTTTCCTTGTTGATCTTGTTTATCATATTTTACATGTATGTTACTGTTAAGTAGATATCAGCGCTGTCGCTGATTAAGTGATTGTGGATATACCTGATCTGATAAATTTGATGTTCCTGGTTTAACTAATTAATTCGGTGGAGGGATATTGATATATTTGACTTGGTGATAAGGGGGATTTTGATAAGCTTGATCACACAGGTTTAGTGAATTTTGGGATACTTCAGTGTTTAAGGGGATTGATGATAATAGTTTTGTGGATATTCTATAATTAATGTTGCTGATTTAATTGATATTTATATACTTACTGTTGCTGGTTTTGTGGATGATGTTTAACTTGTTACTTATTATTAAGGTAGTAGGGAAACATTTGATGTTACTGGTTATAGGATATGATGCATTTGATTTTATGAGATATGAGTTAACTTGATTTTCTGTCTGAAGGAATTTCATTAGCTTACGTTTTAGATAAGGCCCTGCTGACTGATAGTTGGTTAATACTCCATTTAGACACTGTATGAGTTTTTCGGGGAATGCATCTGTAAAACTAGTCAAAAAGAAAATTTTCGAGACTTGCAGTTTTGGATTAGCATCAGGAAATACCCCCTTCAAAGCTCCAATGCCAAATTTCTGAATATTCTCTAAAGCTTGAATTGTTGTTCCTGTTGGAATGTATCCTAAAATACATGAAACAATTACCATTTAACATAGCAAAATTACAGTTGACCAGATAAATATATTTTCTTTTTACTATTTTTGGTTATGGAAAGAAAATTTGAAAATGTACCGGATGCTAATGTAATAAATAATTTCTGCAGGACTTAAAAGTTCTATGACAAATTGTCAGTTGTAATTCTTTGCAGGAAGAAAGCTATGCATTTATATTTAGACCTTGAACGGTATAGACATAGAGGTAAGCCAAATAAATTGTTTACAATCCAACTATTCGATAAAATATGCTTTTTGATGTTATTATACAAAGATTCACTAATTTTACCTCCAATTAACAGTTCTAGTATTTCTGTGAGTTCAGGTGTATTATGATTTCCAAATCCAGCAAAATCGATGATGTGTGGAAGCTTTTTGAAAATCTTTTTCATCTTCTGTTTTTTATTTTCGTTCGGTATTCGTTCTAAGAAACTCAACGTTGCACCACATTTGTCGTATCTGCGTCATGTAAAGATAGATCATAGAAAATCATTCATGTAAAGTAAATGGCAGGTAATGTAATTCGAAAACGAGTTGACTAAGCGCATTCCCTCATATCCATATGCAAGACCCCGTCCATTTCCCTATTTTATCTTCAATCAACCTGCCCCTTATCGCTATGTGATTGAATCCCGTCAGTGGTCATGGATTTTTCATGTGAGGAAGCTATCGTTCTTGAATTAATTAATGCATTAAAGAAAACCTGAGAGCTTCCTCTACAACAAAGGCTGAAAAGTCGTTATAAGATAATTACAATTTTGTTGCTACATCACACTGAACCAAAAAAAAACAAGAACTAAGATATCACTACAAAGCGAAAATTTTAACTCGACCTATATTTTATCAAGTTTCATTAGTGTAACAATTTTTTTATATTTTATTGCCTTGTTAAAGGATTGTATTCATATGTTAACAATTGTTTCTAACTAAAGTTATCGAATAAAAACATTTTCTTTTTCAGTGAGAATAAGTTGATCCCAAGGGTTCAAAAAGCAATCCTAAACTAGGTCTTCATATGACCTCCTTGCGTTGCTATTTAACAAAAATCTGGAGACAAAGTGATCCATCGGAGTCATAAAGCACATCAAAATTACTTAAGAATTGCAGACTCGGTTTGATTGAGTTTGTGTACATGAGGGGTAAAGAAGAAGTGCTGCATCCCTGACGCCCCCTAGCACCGGCTTGAGCGGTACTCAATACTCAACACTTGTTAGTGCTGGCATCAATGAACCCGAAGGGCCAGAAGAAATATAACAAGACTGAAGTAAAGTACGCGGCAACTTTTCACAACTGCCACACGGCACTTGACATCTGGTGTTGTGAATGATAAAAATCTGTAAACAAATGATCCCTCGGAAGCATGAATCACAATAAAATTACATAAGGATTGCAGACTCGGTTTGGTTGAGTCTGTACATAAGGGATAATGAATAAGTGCAACATCCCTCACGCCCCCTAGCACCGGCTTGAGCGGGACTCAATTCTCAACACTTAATAGTGCTGGCATCAATGAACCCGAAGGACCAGAAAGTCTGATTTAAATATTTCAATTCTAACTAGTCATTGTCCAGAACGCGTTTTCCTATTTTTAGTAACAATGATCTTCATCTTAATCCCGGGAATTCAAAACAATCCGAACCTCGTGATTTATATAACCTTGCTATTAACCTAGTTTGAATAAAATTTTTAAATCCAAACTGTAGTTATTGTTCTGAAAATGTTTTCCTATTTTTAGTTACAATAATCCTCACCGTCAACCAAGGGGTCCAAAAGCAATCCCAATCTGGATCTTAATACAAGCTTGCTACATACCAAGTGATCCCATTAAATATCCCATTCCTCACTCTTGTTATTGCCTCAACACCATTCTTTTCTATTTAGTAACAGTGAGTTTAACATTGAACTCAATAGGTACAAAAGTATTCCCAATAGGTCTTCATGTAAGCTTAATATATACCGCTTTTTGTCCAGAAACCATTTTTTTTTTTAATTTTAGTAACAATGATCATATTCTCTATCCCAAGGTTTCCAAAAGAAATCCCAAACTTGATTTGCATATTATCTTGCTGTATACCAAGTTTGATACAATGCCTGATTCTTAACTGAATTAACTTTTTTAAAGTTTTTGTCCGGAAACCATTATTATTGTTTTGGTAACGGTAACATTGACCTTAACCAAAGGGGTTCCAAAAGCATACCCAACCGAGGTTTCGACATAAGATTGTTTTATGCCATGTGTGATACCAAACTCTTGTCAACGTCCGAAAACCATGAAATGGGCCAACAGAACCAGACTCTTATAGACGCCCCCACCAATCTTTGCTTGCCGAGGCATAAAAACACTTCTTTTTGTATTATGTTTCGGCTAACGCATGCAAAGTTTGAATGAGTTTTAGTTAACAGCTCCGTCCTGGTTTAATTTTTTATAAACACACTGCAGTGTCTAATAGTCTAACAACAATAATAGTCGAATAATCAAGTGTAACAAGTTTCGTGTTGAAAACGTTGATAGTTTTGAAAATATCCTACTTATAAGGCATTTTAACAGAAATTTTAGTTCTAACAAGAGGCACGCAAAACAATTTCTTTTAGATTAATATCACATGCATTCTAATTTTGTAAACGATTCTGACCCAAAATAAATATAGGTCAAAACGAGACAGACATTATGAAGTATTTCCTTCAGACCTATGCACCTTGTTCTTCATCTTTAATGAGAAATAGGGTACACTGGTGGAAAATAGGGTACTTGTATATAATATCAAATTCATTGGTGAAGACAGAGTACCTTTGTGTATATATTATTTCAGTTTCACCAGTAAAGGAAAAAATATGTATGCATTATTAAAGGTACATTGTTGATTCTTAGAGCTGTGGTACCTATGAGTGCAGTAGTTCAAGTTCATTTGACTAATGTATGTATTAGTTTGTTATCATTTAATAAGTTCACCGATGCAAAACCCGGGTACTTATGTGATCATTAACTCAAGTTGATTTACAAAGAGGCTTATGAGAATATATATGTTAATTCAAAAGTGACAATAGAAATTTCCTTGGACTTTGTGAGTTATTTATTGTTCGTCTGATTTAGATTATATGAACGGAATTTTGACAAAATGTAAACTTATTTTGACTTTCACATGTTAACTCACTATATGGATGAGCTTTATGTCACTTTAACTAGTATAAAACAAAATAAATCAAACAGAAAATAAACAAAAAGCAGATATATTAAGACACGAGACTGGCAATCAAGATTTTCTCTAAATATATATGTATATATTGAATTTATATGCGTTCCTCAGATTCTGAAGATACTTAAAAGAACAGCAACAATTATTTTTATAAATACTTGACTGACAACTGAAGGACTGCCCAAACATAGTTCAAAATAAATCAAGTACTTGTATATTAAAATATAACCTTATCAATTCAGTTGTTACTGATTGTGTCATTCCTCTACCTTGGGGAGCTACTATAAAGTATCTGTCCGTCAAAATCTTGTGAAGCGTATTGATTAGCGAACTTTTACCAGCCCCTATTTGTCCAATTAAGAGGATCACATGATCCTCATCATTAATAACATCAGCTATGTCGACGATATCGTCCAATAGAGCCTCGTTTTCTCTCTGCAGTCCCAATTCTTCGTCACAGCCAGGAGTTTCTTAGAATATAAAAATTGACGTGTTAGGACAGTTTGATAAATGTCATAAGATATCTCGAAGACAGATAGACATTGTTATACTACAAACATTCTTAGCTCTTTTAATCTTAATTTAATTATCTTGTGATTTTGTTGTGATTAATGCTTCCGAGGGAACACTTTATTTCCAGATTTTTAAGAATGACAGTTTGGAACTTTTAATTCAAGAAACTTTATTTATTTATTTATTTATTTATTTATTTTATTACTTTTATTTGTAAAATATGAAGTAGTATATAAACTAAAGAGTTAGATTTGTATTTTTGTTAGGTTATAGAATCATTTTTCGATTTACCTGATGGGGACAACTCTGTCTCGCTACTATCGCTATTTCCGCCAATTACATCCGGCCTGTCTGAAGCTGTAACATGGTCAATATCTTATTGAATAAAATAACTAGTCAGAGATAGACGATATTGTATTATATGAAATAACTTGTTGTCAGAGATAAAATATCAGTTGATATCTATAATTCATGTCTCATATTTTTAAATATTTTATAGAAGAAAACATTCAATGTTGCAATTATCCAACAATGAGTGGTGTACCAGATTTTTAAGAATGACAGTTTGGAACTTTTAATTCAAGAAACTTTATTTATTTATTTATTTTATTACTTTTATTATAATTCATGTCTCATATTTTTAAATATTTTATAGAAGAAAACATTCAATGTTGCAATTATCCAACAATGAGTGGTGTACCTATACCTTGCTTTAACATAGTCTCGTCTGTTTCCAATCGTCTTTGATGTGCATTTATGGTACGCAGTTCAATAAGCTTATCTTCAGCAATTGCCATTTGTATTTCATCGTTCGTGGCTTTTGCTATCGTAAATATATTTATCAAATATTATATATTGTCAGAGATAAACGATATTGTATTATATGAAATAACTTGTTGTCAGAGATAAAATATCAGTTGATATCTATAATTCATGTCTCATATTTTTAAATATTTCATAGAAGAAAACATTCAATGTTGCAATTATCCAACAATGAGTCGTGTACCAGATTTTTAAGAATGACAGTTTTGAACTTTTAATTCAAGAAACTTTATTTATTTATTTATTTATTTATTTATTTATTTTATTACTTTTATTTGTAAAATATGAAGTAGTATATAAACTAAAGAGTTAGATTTGTACTTTTGTTAGGTTATAGAATCATTTTTCGATTTACCTGATGGGGACAACTCTGTCTCGCTACTATCGCTATTTCCGCCAATTACATCCGGCCTGTCTGAAGCTGTAACATGGTCAATATCTTATTGAATAAAATAATTTGTCAGAGATAGACAATATTGTATAATATGAGATAAGTTGTTGTCAGAGATAAAATATCAATTGATATCTATAATTCATGTCTCATATTTTTAAATATTTCATAGAAGAAAACATTCAATGTTGCAATTATCCAACAATGAGTCGTGTACCAGATTTTTAAGAATGACAGTTTTGAACTTTTAATTCAAGAAACTTTATTTATTTATTTATTTATTTATTTATTTATTACTTTTATTTGTAAAATATGAAGTAGTATATTAAACTAAAGAGTTAGATTTGTACTTTTGTTAGGTTATAGAATTCATTTTTCGATTTACCTGATGGGGACAACTCTGTCTCGCTACTATCGCTATTTCCCGCCAATTACATCCGGCCTGTCTGAAGCTGTAACATGGTCAATATCTTATTGAATAAATAATTTGTCAGAGATAGACAATATTGTATAATATGAGATAAGTTGTTGTCAGGATAAATATCAATTGATATCTATAATTCATGTCTCATATTTTTAAATATTTTCATAGAAGAAAACATTCAATGTTGCAATTATCCAACAATGAGTCGTGTGTACCAGATTTTTAAAGAATGACAGTTTTGGAACTTTTAATTCAAGAAACTTTATTTATTTATTTATTTTATTACTTTTTATTATAATTCATGTCTCATATTTTTAAATATTTTATAGAAGAAACATTCAATGTTGCAATTATCCAACAATGAGTGTGTACCTTACCTTGCTTTAACATAGTTCGTCTGTTTCCAATCGTCTTTGATGTGCATTTATGGTACGCAGTTCAATTAAGCTTATCATCAGCAATTGGTATTTCATCGTTTGCGCATTTTGCTATCGTAAATATATATATATATATATATATATTATATATTATATATATATTAATATATTTATATATATATATATATATATATATATATAAAATAATTACTAAGTAAACATAGAAACTTTTGTTTATTTTGTAGATGTAACTGAATTGATGTCACAGTATATCTATATATGCAATTGAATATTATTAAACTTACATGTTACAATTATTAGCCTGGGAAAAGATGACAAAAGAAAACACAAGTCCGCATGCAATCAGCTGTAAAAAATAATTTTAATCAAGAGATAATTTCATCGTTTTATTTCTAGGACAAATAAGTAAAAACTAATATCTTTTAAATGCGATTTTTTTGTGTATAATTGTATTATAAAACAATCGGATTAGTATTCTATAATAAATGAAAATAAAACAGATGATCTTTAAAATGATTCTCACCCATTGATTTCGTGATACTGTCTACATTATCTTTGTCTATCTCAAACGTTATTTGGTATTGACTGTCATTCATTTCTTCCATTGCCTTTATCAATCCATGCAGTCTGTTTCTAAATTCGTTGCTCTGAAAGAATTCCAAGAGCTTCAACAACCCTTTGAAGTTTTCAAACACAATCTTCACCTGAATGCATTCTTTTTTTATTCCACACACATACACTCCTTCATGCGCTTCCATTTCATCTAAAAATTGCCTTACTTCACTTATAAGTTGTGTCTCGTCTTCAGGTACCTGTGTTCGTTTGCTTGCTCTTCTAAACACCCTTTCAAGGATTTCCTCCGCTAATTCTGTAAGCTGTGTATTATCTCCCCTGATAGTCAGCCTAGACTCGAGCACTTAAAAGAGGGTGTAAAAAAATGTTTGAATAGTCAATCAAAATAAAAATATTAAGTATTGTCCGGTTTTTAAGCAAAATAAAATGAAGCAAGATTAAATAAATATTATTTCAGAAACTATAATTCTGTTTTGCTGTTATGCAGTAATTCATGGGTCACATGCGTGAATTTACTCGAACCATTGCATTTTCCACGGCAAAGGAACTGTATAAGATTTCTCTCAGTCTGCAGATCCTTTTTATAAATTTAGTATAATTTCGTTTGGAGACTTGTGTAAATCATTTTCTTAAACTACTATTATACTGACCTGCCATTGTTCGACATTTAGCATCTCTTTCACTTAGTATGTATTGTTCCACCTCTTGTCGAAGATCTAAAAGCAGGAAAGTAGTGAGTATTGTTTGATTTTATTGACCTTTCAATTAAACATTATGAATACATTATTGCATTCGAAAACTACTGTTTTCGCAGTATGTTTAACAGAAATGACCACGCCTATGCAAACACGGAAGTGCGGTTGTGGGACAACTCAAAAACATTGTTTTGCCTCGTTTTGTATAGCTGAAATTACACTTATTGATTTGAGTTAGGTTGAAATTTCGGTGTTTATTCTTAAATGAACTCGTTTTAAAAATGATTAGATCTGACAATGTACGGCCAAAGCATATCAAAAAGTAAAAACAATATTATGAAAACAATCAAAACTTCAATACGTTAAAAATCTGAATAAGAAAGAACACGGACCTACGTGGCCTGGATTTTCACGTAGGACAATGTGGTGTAGAACGTAGAATACCCTATTACGCTATAACGTTCAGTATAATAATACTTAGATTCGAAGATTAAAATACCTTCTATTTCTTTCATAATGATGATGACCTGCTCTGTTAACTCTTCAACTCTTCTTGTCAGAATGGCCAGCTGTTCTGAAATTTTGTTATCGTATTGGCTTATGCTTCCCAACATGTGCAGTGTTTCTTGTCTATTTATCAGACCAGATTTACAATTTTCAATAAGGTTTTGACACTCGTCGCGGATAGATCTGTCAAGGTTTTTACTCAGTTTCGTCAAAGTACATCCAGCATGTCTCCACTGTTCGACATATTCCTTATCATCATTTATCGCTAAAGATCCAGGATGAGACAGTTCATTTCTTAATGACTGTAGAATTCTTATGTAATCCAATTCTTCGGCGGGTGTTTTACCTCTACACAGCTGTAAAATGATTTTGCTTAAAATTGCTATGTCCCATTTGTTTATGTCTGATATTCCATTTTCAGTAAAAATTCGATCCATTTCATTTTTCTTCATCTTTAATTTAGCTCGATTATGGTCTAAAACGTCAGGGAGAGGTGAACCTATGTCCCTGATAAGAATACCGCGTAAGGTGATCGTGCCACCTTGTCCCACTAGAAGAAGGTATCGTAGATACCTGTCGTTGCCAATAGATGCCATTTTGTAAATGCTGTTTCATCAACCGTTTATCCCTCACTGAGCTGACCTAAATTGAAGTAAATAAATTCAAGAAAGACAAATCTGTTTCAATTTTGATAATATAACCATGTCAATCATAAAATATCTTATTCAGAAATATGCTTACTAGTAAAATATTGGGATTAATGCGTGCAACCTACAGTAGAAATTCTCAATTGGACATTACAGAAGGCGGGGGTTCTACTCAAGAGTGCCGTTCAACTGTGAAATAATGCACAAAGGGGCACCTTAGGTGATCCTCCACCAGGTTTGCGACAAAAATATTCGCTTCCTGGCCTTAAAAAGACACTGCCAAAAATCTTTTCTTTTACAAATTTGGAAATACTTTTTTTATTTCGAGAAATGCTATTTGTAAGATAAAATTGCTATTTTTTTTTTTACTTTTCAGAGTTATATATAGCATATTTAGTCTATATATTTATTGTTTCACAAACAGTATAATAAGTCTTACTAAGAGTTTTAAAATCTTGAGGTAAAGGAAATGTTACCGGTTCAAGACATACAGATAATAAGTGCATGTTAGACCTCAGGGCTGCTCAGTTGTTGACTATTGTTTGACCAGTCATAGTGATTTAGATTGTTTTACTGATTTTTTTGTTTTTAAATGTACTGACTTAGTCAATAAATTTGGTCTTACTCCAGTATCCATGCCAGATCACTCAGTTTTAACATGGACAATTGAAGTTGCTGTTAAAAGCATTATTTGTGAACCTAATGAAGACAATCACGCACTCGGTGATTCTACCATACAGTCTGATCGCTTCAATGTTAAGAATATACCTGAAAACTTCTGTAATGATCAAGATGTGATAAATGTATAACATAACTGTATTTTTACTTTAGAAGCCAGTTTACAGGCTCAATCTGATATAGATACAACATATTTTGTGTTGTGTCAATGCATTAAAAATGAAATGTTTGTTAAGCTGCCTAGGATGAAACAAAAGACTCTTAATTCAAATAACAATAAAGGTAGAAAATGCTATAAACTATGGTGGTCTGATGACCTTACTGTTAAATGGAATAATGTATGTTATGTTGAAAGAATGTATTGTAAATGCACCAATGTAGACCGGGCTGATGATACACCTCCTGGACAAAACACATGTTTAGAATTTGAAAGGGAGATTGATGTTTTAGAAGTCAGGAATGCTATTAAGCGGGCCAATATAACAAGGCTAGTGGGATAGATGCCATGCCGTATGAGGTTTTTAGAAATGACGCTTCAGTCTCTTGTCTCCAAATTCTTTTTAATATTTGTTATTCCAAAGGTACGGTTCCTTCTGATTGGGGTAAGTGTATCATCAACCCGATCCCAAAGTTCAATACTCAGGGTAGGAAAGACCCTATGTCATATAGGGGTATTGCATTAGCTAATACAATGTACAAACTGTATTGTAGTACCATGATTAAGTCACCCGTTACGGTATTTGAGCCGTGAACAGCGACTTTTGCAAGGGGAGCAAGGCTTGAACTAGGTTACGACTTTGGCGAAGAAGTCGCCTTCGGATCAGCGACTTTGCCTAAAACAAACTTCAAAGAGATTTTGAAGTCGCCCGATTTTTATAATTTTCCGTCATACTTATTTACTCCGCTAGGTCTGTTAATAATTTGTTTACCTCTCAATTACAACTAATTACCGTTAATCCGCTAATTAAGAACGCGTGTCAACATCAACAAAGTTCAAAACACGCCGTAAGGCAAGAGTTCACTATGTTTATCTTTCTCATAACGTTTTCGTGCGATTGACGAATCAGAACACGCGTTGTATCTACGGCAGTTTGCATTGACCAATCGGCGACACGCTAATATATTGTGGATGTTTGTTGACAATTACACAAAATGGCGACAGATTCAATCAATTTTCGCCGATAGAATTATTAAAGACACCTGCATATACATAAATGCTGCGGTGTTTTGGCGAGTAAAGATAAACAATGCCAAACGTCTTAAAGGTGTGGTTATGCTTGAAACCTCGATCATGTCGATTGTTAATTTTTTTCGGAGCACTTATCTGTAGAAATTATGTGAAAATTTGTATCTAATGTTTTATTAATACATTGAACTCCGTAAAGTAAACAGGCTGATTATACAACTTACATGCCTCTACAGTAACATTTCATTAGCAAAATTGAAATTAAACATTTTTTTTACAAACAGATTTATCAATATAAATTACATTTTCATGAATATGTAACTTTAAAATACTAATGTAATGGTGTAGTTTATAATCTTACCCAATTATACATGCAATTTTAATACTCTCTTGTTTTTTATAAATGATATTAGATATGTTTAATATCAATAAAAATATAATTAAACCCTTAGTATGGTACTATCCTGCTTTTCAACATAATATTGGTATGATATGTTCATATATCCAATTATTAGGACGTCCCAGGACCCTGTCTTTTTAAGCCCTTTTTTCTGTTCTCCCATCGAAGGCACTGAAACAGTCTTTCTGTATTTCAACCAACGTTTGTCAAACAGGGGCAGAGTCGAATGCCAAGCTTTTGAAGATGAACAAAATGGTTTTCGGAAATGTCCCCCTATTCAAGCCAAGGTAACCCGACCCCCCCAATTTTTTGACCTTTTCCCCCCCGGCCAAAATTTTTAACATTTTTTTGGGCTGATGAAATACATTCTGGAAAAAACCTTGTTGGGTTTTGAAAATGTTTTTTAAATCAAATTTTTCAAATTAAAGCGGGGGGAAACCTTTAACAAAGGGAAATGAAAAAAGGCCTTCCTAGGGGGGGGTTTAAATTTTTTTAAATTTCTTTTTCCCAAATCTTTTTTAAATATTTTAATTCCAAGGCGTTTAACGGTTCCTTTCTTGAAATGGGGTTTTAAAATTGTTGATTTCAAAGACCCCTCCTTAAAATTTTTGGAAAACATAGACTATGTATGATGCCTAGGATTTAGTCCTTAATGCAATAAACTAGGGTGGGGGAGATATACAAAGTTTTTTAGGTTTGGGCTTTTTTTGGCCTTCTTTCCCTTCCCCATGCTAAAAATCAGTGTAGGCCAAATACAAAAAATTTTTAGATATAAAAACTGGTGTTTCAGAACAAAACAAATTTTTTTATGATCTTGAATGTACAGAATTTTGTAATATTGATAATATAGTATCAAAAAAAGCTATATTAGAAAAAGTTCAATCTAGAACAATGCAAAGTTTTATTGCAAAGTGGAATGTTAATGTTACATCTGAAAGAAGTAGAAGCGGGGTCGGTGGCAACAAACTGCGCACATATAAGAAGTTTAAGACAACTTTTGGAACTGAGGAATATTGCAAAATCATACTTCTGCGTTGCCACAGGTCCGCTTTTGCTAAGTTCAGATGTGGAACTGCACCACTAAGAATAGAGACAGGTAGATATGAACGCCTACCAGTAAATGAAAGGCTTTGTCCTTTTTGTAATGACAAGGTAGAAAGTGAATTTCATACTGTAATGGAATGTTTTATGTATGAAGATATTCGTGTAGATCTATTTGAAAAGGTGAGTGTCAAAAACCCACATTTTCACACAATGACAACCATGGAGAAGTTTATTTTTATATTCTCAAATACGAGTTGTGTACGGTATATTGCCAAAACCTGCTTTGACATACTTAAGAGAATGGTAACTTTCCTTTACATATAAGAACATACAAAATGCTCTCTTTTTCTGATGTGTCTTTTTATATGTTTTTATTTTTATTTAAAATATATACATTATATATAATAGAATAATAGGTAAATGTTTAAATTACTGAAATGTAGGTTTTAAGATAAATAATTTAACCAGACTAAGCCTGTGATCTCACATTGTTATCAATTGTTCAAAAGTGAATACTATTTTATAGTTTATATAGTCCTAGATAAATTTAATTGGACAGTACAAAAAATTTATAATAAAACAGTCTTAGTAAATTTTATTTGGCAGGATATGGTTTTAAAAATGTCATAAATTGACTTATATAAGTTTTAATGGTCATATTTATTACATATTGGACAAATATAATTGTGTTGCTTCTGTATAAAATATCCATTGACTAAGCCAATATATTGTATGGATAAAACAGATCTTCGCGTAAATTATGTTGAAGAAACAAATCGTTGATATACTGAAGTTAGTAATATTTTGAGATTGTAAAGTATCAAGTGTAATAAATGACATATTTTCCAAGGTTAAATGATTTATAATGGTCAATTTTTCTTTTTACCATTTGCATTTAAACATTTTAGTATCGTTTTATTCATTGTACCACAATGTAACCTTCTGTAGGAAAAACATGCAATAGTTCGATTATATTGAGGTCATATTTTTTTTAAAATACAATAACCTTTTAAAGAATGATAATTGTGAAGCTAGGGGAAAAACTCCTCAGTGCATAAAACAGTAACTGCTGTGATATGGACTGTGGAGTTGTCTCCCTTAGAGGTAAAAATAAATAGTCTCTTGTAATTCTTTTAGAATGGCTTTCATGTATTTTATGTTTGTGTTTAACGTTTTATATGTAATTTTATGTATACATGTAAAGATGAGACTGAAATAAAGAAATATATATGTTTATCCCATGTTTTAATTAACTGCTATATTAATGAATTAGCTGTAAACATTAATTCATTCAAAATAGAAAAGATTAACATATCATGTTAGATACTGTATTTATATGGTGTAATACAAATCACATGACAATCAATGTAAAGAAAAGTAATGTACACTTTAGAAGCAAATGGACACATAGAACATCGTTTCATTGAAGTGCGGTACTGATAATTTAGCTGTCATCGACAACTATGTTACCTTTAGTTGGCCCTGAAAGAATTTTTTAATTACAATTTTACAGCTTAATTTTAAAGCTCAGGCATCTAGAAGTGCAAACTTTAAGCAACTTGGAGGTAGGCCTTGTAATGCATACATTCTCTTGTTTTGCCCGAACAGGGTATATAAGTGAAACAATATATTATTTGTAATCATAACATTTACAGTCAACTATCGTTATCTCGACATCGCTTTTCTCGACATTTCGTTATCTCGATGAAATTTTGAAAGTCCCGATTTTCTTCCTTCTTTATCTATATGGAAATGTTTGTTTATCTCGATATTTTTATTTCGATATTTTCAGTATCTCGATGTAAAATTTCAGCCCTCAATAGTTATTTTCACACTATTATCCTTTGTTTATCTCGACTAATAGTTTTCTTTCGTCTGTCCCCTTCAGACGTGTGAAACACAAACTAAACGATAATTGCTCAATAGGCGTGTCATAATGATGATTATGTTTGTAAGAGGTTTAGCTGTTTTTATGAAAGTTAATCTATTCAGCATGTTGATTGACTTATGTCCAAAATGAGTGAATTTTACGTTCTTTATAAATATTCGAACACCGTATCAATTCATTATGACTTTTAATGTTAATGAAATAGTGAAAGTATAGAAACGCTATCGTTGCAATATTGTTTCACAACATCACCACCAAATCAATCAGCGGTCAAACAATCTCAAGAAAGACCCGATAAATAACCCGGGAGGATATCTGGATCAACCTATCTTCATTTTATTGGTGTATTACTGAGTAAACCTCACTATGTGTTTTTATCACAGACACCCGTATTTCCGCTGGTAAACATCCACTAATGTTACTAGGTCTATGAAAAGAAGACATGGGGATATCGTAGTTTATTTGACATTAGGTATGCACATGTCTTTTGTAAAAATCAGTTTCTGTCTTATTCAAACCCTAATATTTTTATCTCGACATTTCGTTATCTCGATATTTTTGACGGCCCCGATGACTTCGAGATAACGAGAGTCGACTGTATAATTATGATAACTGACAAATAATTAATTGTACGGATTGAGTAGGAAGCTTAAAAACTATTTTAGAAATGCTCTAGATCAGATTAGCTTTAAATAAAACCAAAGAATTTGTCCAATCTGTAAGACTGGCACTGAAGAGGAGAAACATGCTATTTTTTTCTTGTGAAAGGTATGAGGATATTAGGAAAGCGCATGTACAAACTCATGCTTTTATGATAAATAAACTGCTTAAACGCAATATTCTATAAGAATATTACAGCGGTAACCAGGCTCTGCCAGCAGCCAGTGTAAGATTCTTATATCATACAATGGCTGTCGGTACTAACAGGAATCTCTAGCTCTCGGGTAACTGTTTAGTCACCCTCGAGCTTGACATTCCGGTCTGTACCGGCAGCCAGTGTTTACTCTAGCACCGTTGTAAACGGTAGATAATCCTGTCAGATATGCAAATTATCTTTTTGTAATCCTTGCCGTATGGACTTAGGAGTTGTCTCCCTTTGACTGTCTCTTGTAATACAAAATAGAATGGCCGTACATTTTTTATCTTGTTAAATAATGCCAACTGGTGAACTATTTTTATGCTGTTAAGAATGGATGAGACTCTAATAAAGATTAATATTATTTTTGTTGTTTTTATTATAATTATTTTTTGGGTTTTTTTTAAACTGAAACAAACTGCTAAAAAATCAAACTGTTACCTGTACTGCGGGTTTTTTTGTTTCCCTCTTCCTTTTAATATTTTGCACGCTATTTTGGGCAACACCTCTAATGTTTTAAAAATTGAAGATATTTTCCAAAATTTTGACTATATTTTTGTCTTTTTTTTTGTATGGGTTTACCGAAATAACGAGTACAAAGTAACAAGAGATTAATCATTACATACACGTATCACTGTAACCTTGCCCTGAATACCTCAAAGTCAATAGGAGAACATGTACCTACCAATTTAAGTTACACAAATCTATAGGCATAGTTTCTTCTCAAGTTACTGTTTTGGAGGATTATACTGTGACCTTGAGCTTTGATTTAAAACTATTGTAAAGGGGGTTTTACGTCAATCCAACACTCAATAAGGTTTAGATGTTTTTATTCAATAACGAATAAAACCTGTAGCAAATAATATAACAATAAGACATCACATTACAAAACCAATATATTACAAGACAAATACATTTCACAAAATACATAATACAAAATATTATACAACAATTGAAATTACAATAAAAACAATTTCACAAATAATAAATATATACATACCAGGCTTGATAGAAGAGATTCTTCAAAATAAATAATAGTAGTATAGGGGTCGGTTTAGGGCCAAGACTGCGCATGCGCGGCGGCCATTTTGTTTTCTATTAATAGCTACTCATTTGCATAGAAGAAATGACCTTACTACACATGCGCGGTGGCCGTGTTGAATTACAGACGTGCGGCGGCCATTTTGGATTCTTTTTTAAGAATGACATCAT